CAATTAATCAGACTGGGGGCAGGTGAAGTAGTCATTGATTACGTTAGATATAGATGGAAACTTATTAGTTATCAGACGTGGTAATTTAATTAAATTGAATTGGAAAGGGGGACGCATACTAGAAAATTCCCATTGGGATTTGGACTACATATGCCGCATTGTTTCCGATTAAAAAAATGCAATTTCCTCTCTCGTGTAAACACATTTTGTAGTTGCTATGTTACTGCCGCCCACTTCTTACATCGTGTACAATACTGTTTTAATGTATAATAATCATATAAAATATCCATATTACATCTTTAAATTTCATAGGTACACAAAGTGTATTAAGCTAGTTGTCGCTTTCATACGTACACGAACCGTTCTTGTAGTAAGCTCGTTGACGTAAAGTCTGAGTTGCGAATTTTACCTAACGTGATTAGAAAGCATTTCAATTGCGACACGTAGCCTAACGATGAGAGACGCGTGAAAGAAGTCCCCTTAATGCACATTACACTGCGTTTAAAACCCAAGTTGCACCTGAGATTGTTGGCAAAATTCCAACATTCAATATTTAATCCAGGGGCGAAAGTGGATTATTGCGATTACACTCGACATGCGCGGGCGTCGTATCGTGGCGCCACGATGGTTATCTATTGTACGGTAAAGTGTATAACCGTATCTAGTATGTCCTGGTTGGAAAACAGAGTAAGAGTACACTCATTATTTACGCATTTTGGATGAAAAAAAACAACAAATTAGTGGTGTATTTGGACACTTCTGTAAGCTTAACCTTTGCGTGAGCTGCGAGTCTAATTTGCTATTTTTTTTAGTAAGTCTACGTATTAGTCATGCCGACACCTGCTACCAAGTATGTTTCCACGAAGAAGATGCAGATTGTTTTGATTGTATGGCTGACTGTTATTTGATGCAAAGGTTAACCGTTGGACACTCAAAGATTGAAATGAAAAACTGTGCACATTCTGAGCTAAATATTATTTTTACCAGGATGATGTTGCTCTTTCTAATATTTGTTTTGCTTCCCTTTATTAATCATGTGTATTTTTTATTATCATTTTTTTTTTAATTTTCCTTGCAGATTTTGTTTTTTCAAATTATATTTTCTGTGAAATTTCCGTTCTCAAAATTTACAATCTTTCAAAAACCCCGTATTTTGAGTTCCATTCCAAAGAAGACGAAACCGGATTTTATTTCCCCAGGGAGTTCGCAAGGCACGTAGGTTATATCAATGTCTCAATCTTAAAAGAAAATATGTTTATTATTTAGGCGGGTTGTATAGTTATTTTATTGCATTAAATTTTAAAGAGATAAGTGATTTTTTCGGAATGAAACAAGACATAAATGCCACAGTTCTTTGAACAAGAAATATATGATCTTGGTGTCATAAATAACTTAATGGTTACATTTGAAAACTCAAAACTATGTCTTGGTTTTGAACAAAATATGTCAAGCGATGTCTGTGAAATGGATGAGTTGACGTACAAATAAAATCGATATGGCTCCATGGCTCCCAAAGTTAGACATTTGTAATCACATCACATCACAAAACAAATCATTGTTCATACCAAGATTGAATCAACATATCAACATGTTTTAGGACAGAAGTAGCCACTTCGGTCAAAGTCATTAAAATGAAAAACAAATTAAATACATATCTATAACACTATGTATGCCATCATATCCTGTCTTACCTATTTTTGAACAATATTGGTCAAGTTACGTCCGAAAAATTGACACAGGAAAATGAAAACAGCATGACCGCCAGTCGGCTATTTGGAATCAAAACACCAACAAAGTATTTGGGAGGGGGGAATGGCCGCCAGTCGGTCAAACGACACGACAAAACAATTGACATTAGCTCTTGGCTTTTATTACATTCTTCGAACAACGTACGTCCGAGAAATAATTAACAACACAAGAAAATAAAAACAACATGAGTGTAAGCCAGCTATTTTTAATCAAATCTAAAACAAACTGTAAACCAGTAACTTACCATATGTGATAGTCATGCCAAGTTTAAATCTGCCCAAGACTGTTGATGACATGTTAACATTGTGTTACTTTTATAGTTTTTGCGAACGTGGCAGCATGTATGTTAAATTTCATCAAAATCCAAAAATAGCTAAGAGAACATGCAATCTTGGAATTAGCGGTAAAAGTCGCGTAAGGCAAATTTGCCACAAGCACGCCACCAACGGCAATGATCAGTAAAATAATGCGTAAAAGATTGTTTTTACCCCTGGAGGATATACAATAATTACGTTCATCTCCGGAATCATTCGGGACGGCAATTCTCTGCATTCGGACTTCTAGTATGTTCAAAGTGTTTAACGATGTATTTTTATGTATCCGAGCATTAATAAAGTGTGTTCCGTCCGAAGTGCGTGCGTCATATACTAACCCGTACACAGAAGCAGAATGCCGATTAAGCCTAGTAGCAAGTTTTAAAGTGCCTGATCAAATGTGACATTTTTTATGTGGGTTTTTATTTAGATCAATTTGGTTATTTATTAACTTATATTCGAGTTTCATTTCAATTACAATACGTTTTTTGAAAATCAGCAATACGTGTTGATACTGTCAGTGACAACGTATGCTGATCACGTACCTAAATTACAATCACATTTTGTTTAAAACTCATAATTTGAAACATACAAAAACGAGTTTGTAAAACTTAAAATACACTTTTCTCCTAAGTCACGCCCTCTAGTGGCAGGAATGCAAACATTGTTTTGATGTATATAGCTATGTCAATAAAAAATGTGTTTTTTTGGAGATTCAATATACTTTTAAATGATGGACACCCAAATATAATTATCTATGTGAATGTCTTTGTACATTCACATTAATCCATGAACCAGAAAGAGTGTTGGTATCCTTTTGGGGGCAAGTGCCATCATGATACCTTTTTAGGAAGGTCAGCATCAATGCTGTAGCTTAGTGGTGTTGCCATGGCGGCCAATTTTTACCATGTTTTAAGACTTTTAATTGTCTTAAGGTAGCGAGACTATTATTTGTGTTGAAAATTACGATTTTCACATTTATTTATTAATTGATGAAATGCACTATAAACTTTCATGTGATAAAGTCAACATAACATAGAATGTCATGTAAGTTGGTTAAAATGTAGATTTTCTGAAGGGAAGCAAGGCAGCCTCAGTAGTGTTTTCCAAAATCAACAACACAGCTTTAATCTGTGTGCCTATAAGTTTCAAAGATAAACTCAAGACAAAGCAATGTTAGGATGTGTTATCAGTAGCTATCTGACACACAATCAGTTGCGTTCACGCACAGCTCCTTAGCACGGGCTAAGAGGTCAAATTCCTTAGCCCGTGCTAAGAA